TTAAGCTGTGAAGACAAGGCTAAACCAAGACAGTAGGTAAAGAAGTTAAAACAGCTTGCCCTAGAAGCGTGAAAGAATGCTTAAGGCCAGCATTGTGGGTAAAAGACATTTCGAAAGGAAAAATTGAAATAAAACGAGTCAGTTTACCAAAGATTCTGTCGGCATCGATTAGGGAAATTTTAAAAGAATATAGCCTAATAGGAATAAGGTGTACATAAGGAGGAAAATCGCCTGGCGAGGCGAAAAGTGAGATGTGCACTTTCTGCCAGCGGAGCCAATAGCATGATGGAGTCATCTGGTCCTGGCTTCGTGTCCAGGCCCCCTTCAAACCAAAGGGAGGAAAGCGAAGAGCATCAAACAGATTGGATTTTACCCGAAGAGCTTCTGGCCAGCTACCAGATGCAATGGGGCCTGAGCGGTGAGCTGTTTCTAATTGACAAAAAACAAATCACACAGGTTAATGAGTATAAACTAGACAGCCAGAGCAGTTTCTTTCGAGGAATTATCAGACGAAAGCAAATGGATGTGTTACAAACCTCCAGTGGTCAATATGCGAAAAAAGATAGCCATGAGGAAGGCAGAAATCAGGCAAGCTTAGAAGGCGCCCATATCGCTTTAACTCCAACGCCGATAAAAATCCGCCTTACTAGCTACATGGCTCTGGCTGACTTGGCTTTCGCTCTACACTGGTGTCATATAGGCAAATGCTACATTGTAGATATAGACACAAACAAAAGGAAATACGAAAACAGTGTGTGGATTTGTTCACAAGGATCTAAAGTCTCATACGAATTTCAGGAGGGACAGATAAGAATAAAAGAAAATGGGTTCAACGAGAATATCTGGGAAACACAAAATAAAGCTCTATTACAAACCGACGAGATCGCAATTTACAGGGACCAGGTAAAATGCAACCTAAAGGCGGCTTTAAGAGTGGCCAACCTTTACGGAATAGCAGAGCTACGCATCAAATGTCATGAGTATATTCGTGAGAATTGTGATTTGACCTCTTGCTGGTCACTGTGGCGAGAGAGTAAGATTTACCGCGCCACAAGTGAAGGTAAAGTGGATCAGGTAGACCCACTTGCATCAGGGATTGTCAGCCGATTCATACTGGAAAACTTCTCGGGACTACTGAGAACTGCGAAGAAAGAAGATAAAGGAAATGAGAGAAGAGGTTTGAAGAAGCTTTCAGAAGAGGAGCTACGAAGCTTGCTCTCCTCCAGCTACCTAAACGTAAAGAGTGAAATGGAGGTCGTCGATGCTATTTTGATGTGGGCTGGCTCACGGAAGAAAAGAGACAGACATTCTAGTCTCATTACCCGATTGTTCTCAGATTGCATTCGCTTCAGTCAGCTTATGCTGACAGAACTGGACATGCTGTACAGGCTTCCCGAAATCCGGCAATCTCGTGTCCGAAAATCGACGTCAATTCAGCCTGAGGAAGTTATAGGGGACAAAATGCTAGAAGGTAAAGAGACGAAGCAGGAGGACAGTGAAGATGAGAAAAATACCAGGGATAGCATAAATGCTGAAAACAAAACTGTGCTGCGAAATTTGCATTTGCGTACGGACATACAGGACGAAGGATCAGATAAAAAGTCATGCCTTGCAACACTACGGCAGACTCGACGCCGTCTGATTCGGGCTAAACGCAACCTCAGACCACTAGTCATACCCAACAGCTTAAAATTGGCAGGCAAACAGCCAAGCAACTTAAAAAATGGGTGCTATAGGACTCAGACGGCCGATCAGACAAAGCGGGTAGATGAGCGATCACAGATCGGCCAACCGGCAAACCGCACGGATGCTGGTGACGACTACCGACGCCATGAGGCAGGAGGACTTCCGCAATTGCAACATTTATACCTACACGACTGGCAGTCATGGGAGCCCGGCAATCGAGAGCATCGCTGTCGAGAACAATCCGCCTGTACTGCTCGAGGAAACGGACATGATGATGACAGTGCTGATTTTTACGTGGCTGATGAGATGAGGGTACCTGCCACACGAAGGTTGGCTGAAAATACTGGCTACGTGCCAATCCATACCGACGCCAGGTTGCCACATGAGGCGATCTTTGTGTTTGGTGGCTGGGAGGAAGGCCGGCCGTGCAGACGTATCCACATGCTGGACGACAAGCGTCTTGCCTGGATCAGCTTTGGCTCAGTAGAAAAGGATTGCCAAAAAGCCACAGAAACTATAGCGCCAGCCTCTGGCGTTGCTCCGATCGAGCTACCATACGCGCTGATGAGTTTCGGCCTGGCTCTTGCCAGTCAACGACACGTTTATATTGCAGGAGGTGAGACGATACACAGCCCAGCCAGCCATCAGGTGATTCATTTGGATCTGGACGAGGCTTCGGAGTATATGCGTACTGGTCTATTCTCTCCACAGGAGGTGCCTCGTCGTCTAGCTGGCAGTATTTGGCGTCGCGTGGCCACCATGCATGAGGGCCGACGCGATCTAGCCTTGGTTGTGGTGACTCTGGAGGACGGTGAAGAGGCACTTCTCGCGATAGGCGGTGATAGCAGTCGCTTGGTGCTAAACACTGTGGAATGCCTGTGTCTGAGCCCCGAGAGGCGTGGCGGCTGGGTATCTGTGGCCTGCATGCAAGTGCCACGTGGAGCACCTGCGGCCGAGGAACTGGGTGGGCAAGTCTATGTGTGCGGAGGATACATTGAAAGCCGAATGGAGGTGCTAACTAATAGTTGTGAGGCTTATTGCCCTCGGACAGACCAGTGGACTATGATACAACCGATGGCTGAGACACGCTACTATGCTCAAGCTGTGGTTGTCGCCGGAGCTCTCTTTGTCTTGGGAGGCGGCGGGGAAGGTGGCTTAGCAACCGAACCTGATCATGAAGAATCACACTCTCACCGTCTGAGACGTCGAGAGCTCACTGACCGACGCCGAAACCGATTAGCAGCTCTGGAGGGCTATAGTAGCACCGTGGAGCGCTATGATCCAGAAAGAGGAGTTTGGGAGCTGATGCCAAGCATGTCAGAGAGAGCAGACTTTGCAGCATGTCTACTAGGAGAAGAGATTGTCTGCCTGGGAGGAGGAGACGAGGCCATTTGCACCAGCGAAGTGGAATGCTGGCGACCATGGACAAGGGATAATTTAGCAGGTGAAGGAGATCAATTGCAGCAATCGTTACTAAGCGAGAGGAGAAACGAGGAGAGCCCAGAAATTAATATGCCATTATGGCTAGCTGGAAATCAATCCCAAGGAGAAAGCGACGGAGGACATCTGCCCCAGACTCCCTTTGGGGGCAGCACCTGGAGGCGAGGCGTAAACTTGCCCAAGCCGATATGGGGCCATCGCGGAATAACAGTCAGGTGAGACCCACATGGAATTGTAATTTATCGCCTAGGCCCAATTCTGGTTTTGTCGGCAAGACATGGAGTCCCAATAATAGAATTTAAAACTTGTATTTACATAGATATTCACACGTTAAATCAGGGACTTTAGTGAGTTTGTATAGCATAATAGTGAACCTTCAGACGTCTTGTCAATACTTTCATTACCTATGGGGATACTGCCCACCAACAGAGTTGTAGGCATACAAAATAAAGTAGCATGATTATAAATTGCTAAACTTTATTGTAAAGCGTTAATAGATGCCTGTTAAGTTCCCAAGAATGGGGCAACCGGAGTTTTAGGCACTTGTAATTTGTATGACTACTCGTAGAATTTACTCGTTAAATTTTATGGTGCTACTACCATAAGTGTTGTCCTACCAAGAGGAACTGAAGTTTTGACCCCACCTGAGTTTAATCATGAACCCCAACAGAAGACAAACCTCTATCAACAAATGTATATATCAATGGAATGTGAATAATGCATGCTTTAAAGTGAATGTAACTTGGTGGCGCTAGGGGCGTGCAAATGTAGAGATGGTGGTATTGGGAGCATTAAGCTTTCTTCATCATGGGCAGAACACCTTCATTTCGATCACCTCCAGGGTTGCTGAATAGACTTATGGAAGATCGAAACAGCAAACCCCAGATAATGACTATAACTCAAAATCGTTTTTTGATTAACAGCAAAG